ATGACGGCTCTTTACTCGATCAAGTCATTTATTCCTTCACAATCTGAGTTCCTCGCATCACAACTATGCTTTATCAAACTGCATGTATCCCGTCATTATATCACCCATTCGCATCAAATAGAAGTAATGATTTGTGCAATTGACTAAAACTATCTTGGGACAGTGTGGCTTTTAAGTACTTTTTACCTCTGATACAACTAGCTTGTTATATGCCTTCATGAGAGATGGTAGGTCTTGTCTGATCCAATCGTGATCCATTGCGGCGCCAACGGTCTGACGGTGTTTTGCATCTCGGACGAGAAGTTTTGAGACCAAATCCTTTCCTGTACAGAATTGAGACGTTACATGAAACACGGAAGCGAAAATTTAGTGTGTTAGGCATACCCAAAGAGAGTCCCTGCCAATCTGACCAGTGGAGAATTCCTACTTTCTGGACGATGCGCCTGCGAACAATCTCTTCACTTTGATGTGGCGTGTCAGGTTCTCCGCAATTGTTTATTGGATATGATGAAATTTGTGCCTTCCTTCGCGAATCGAATGGATGATAACCCCTAAACAAGACGCCTTGAGAACTGGAGAACAGGTAGAAAGGCCAAGGTACCGACTGAAGCATGATAAATATGATGAGCCCAAGGGCCCAAGAGTCAGACATCTCGGTATTGTATTTGGTCTTTCTTGCCAATGCCGTGACTGCTTCTGGAGGGAGATATGAGATCGTGCCTGCGACATTACCAGTGAGCTCGAAGGCTCGCTCCTTAGCGAGACCAAAATCTGCTATCAAGATTCTAGGGTATGCTCCAGGTGTGGCAAGGAGGATATTCTCGGGCTATACGAGGTGAGAGATCTTCTTTCGTGTCATTGGGTCAATACCATACTTTCAAGTCTGTGACTATTAGAAGATATAAAATCCGGGAATTAGTATCCTACCACGATGTGAAATCCTCTTTTGATGGAGGTACTGGATATCGTGTCAAGAATTTATCCTGTCATCTAGGAGTCCGAAGGCGAACCTCTAGGCCCTTCATCAGTTGAAAGGTAATGTACTTTGTCTCGCCTTCACAGAGAACCCTATGCTTGGCTATATATGAAAAGAGATCTCCTCCGGTTGCAAGTTCTAGAAAAATACGCCTATTTGTAGAGTTAGTGGCTACTTAAATATCGAAGATCACAGGGACTTGCAGAGCTTCCTCGCTTGAACTGAATCCATACACCGCATTGATATTGGGCTGAATTGAACCCATTAGTCTACTCGTAACTGATACAGGCACAGTATCATACGTGTCGAAGCTTCTTTAAAAGCTCTACCTCTCGAAGGACGTCTGTGATGTCCGCCTGGGATCTTTGTTGTATAATTTTGCATGCCACTTGCCTATGCTCTTTCAGGTCGATGGCCAAATTGACAGCAGAGTATGCTCCTCTGGTTGAGTTGAGAGACGTAGAGGCTAACAAGCAAGTATAGATGCAAACCTCCCAAGAGTGTGATGAGTGATAGAATACTGTCCCACAGCCTATCCGAGATAATGTGAATGAAAAAGAATATGAAAAATTAAAGTGGTGATGTACTTGTATTTCTGCGAGGCCACGATCCACATGCAGGTTTGACTGCGACCCTTCTCGACGGACTTGCTCACAGTGGAAGACTAGCACATAAGGAATTATATAAGCAAATATTTCTCGTCTCGCCTCACCTTGCGAACCCGAGATTTGAAGATAGTCCCCATCCATTAGGAGGATTGATCTACGTTTCGTAAACGGGTGACTATTCACGATGATTCCATTGCTAGAAAAGTCCTATCATGAGCTAAGATCAATTAATTCATCCTAATAGATGGTGAGCAAGCAGACTTGGCAAACAATGGAGACCTTTCCCGTATCTGCCACCACACTGTCCTGGAATTAGAGGAAGTTCACCGAACCCGATACATGCTTACGCGTGAATTGTGCAATGCCGACTTGAAACTGTCTTTTCTTTGAGCACGTAGTCCGACTTTGGATGGCGACCTATTAGTCAAAATGAGATGAGAATGAACAGTCCAGCTTAACCAAGAAAGCATACCTATGGTCAGTGGACGGTCTACTTGAATGACTAGTTCTGGGGTAAGAGGATCGTTAGAAAGATTGCATAGGTAGACTACTGTGTCCTGCATGTTCCTCACTGTCTATAATACCCTCGCTATTAACGGTGGAGAGCACAGCAGAAATGGAAGAAAGCGAGTGTTTCTTTCGTCTATACGGGGTATCCTCATCTTCAGTCAACTTTCGTTTCCTGGATGATGATGTATTGCTCAAAATGGACGTCGTCGCCGGCATGAAAGTGCTCTGGCTGTCGGGGTAGGGAAGAAGCAGTGACCTTTGACTCTGAGCACTCGACACTCACCTTCGGCCTTCCAGTACAGGCTCATCAAGGAGAAATACTCATAGTCAATTAGGTATGGGCGCTGTTAAACATGTGGTACGATTGACATGAATGTGTGTGGATACATGTATTGTATTGAGTAAGGATACGAGGATGTAAATGAGCAGGGGACAACAACTAGAAGACTTTGACGATTGACAGGAGCATGGAAATAGAAAATCTACCGCTGATAGAACTGGATAGGAAAATCTGGCTGCGGATAGTCATCAAACTCCGTGTTCGCATCTAGGAATTTCCGTAGCCTCTGAACCTGAAATGAGAGAAACATGACAATTATTTGCATCCGTACTTCCATATGATTAACGAGGGCGTCCAAGAGGTTAGTGCATGTTTCCAGTGCCTGATCGCGAGTGTCGGTGAACATGTGGCCTGTGGCGGAAGTGAGAATGCGGCAGACCAAACCAATATCGAATGAACATACCGTGACTACCGAACTCTTTGAGCTCATCAATCAGCTCGCTGAACTCTGAGCACCATCCTAGAACGCCAAGCTGTCATAGACGTAAGTTAAGCTGGTAAAGATGAACTCGAATGTCGTACGTACCTGCCCAAAGTGTTTATATTGCTCCATTAATACATCTGGAGCCGATTTTAAGGCATAAACAAAGAGTGTGTTACGGTCTACGATTGCGGGTTCGGGGATGTAAGTTGGTTTTGGGGAAGGGGCAGGAGGGGGTGTCTAAATAACCCGGTCAGGAAACAATCGTCGAGTTCTTGGGAGAGAGACTCACTTTGGCTTTAGGAGGTAGATTCTGGATAGAGGGAAAAGAGTACAATCAGCAAGCGTTGACAAGAATTTGGAATCAGGACTGACCGTAAACCATTGATGACCAGAATAGTCGACCTCAGGTTCCCAATCTCCGCGATACTCCATAATTGATTTTCGGATTCAAGTAAAAATATAGTGATTGGTTTAAATAGTTGTTGCGAAGGATTACAACCGATGTCTATAGAAAGTCGGATGATTGGTTGGTAGTCTTGGGATATGCCAAAGGTGTGGGGTCCACTGGGTAATACACTGCTGGAACTTCCTTTCTAGTGGGTGATGGGACGACTTCGAATGTGGCCGTCGAGCTTGCTAAATAAATGGGAGGGGGGAGGAAATAATCTTCTTCAGGCTGATACTGTCGTCCAGCTCTCACAGACTCGAAGGATGGGATCGAAGGGAGTACTCGTTCAGATGGAATTCGTGTCGTTAATGGGAGGCGACCGGCAATGACGATGTTGCGGTTCTTTGTATCGCCAAAAGGGACGAGCGAATCGGACCTAGACCTGGTATGGGCTGCAGCCGTGGAAGTCTCTGCTCGGGGTGGGGGTGGTTGTGAACTCCTGCTCAGAACGCGTTTTCGAAGTAGGGATACTTTGCGCTGTTTCTGGCGTACGTATAATCGTGAGCAATGAACACCCAAGAAAGTGGTTGATGACTGACAGGTGGTTCAGCCTTTGATTTTGAATCTCTTACAGATTCAAACGAGGTGGCAAATGGATTACTTGCGTGCCTTAAAAGGATGGGACCCTTTTCTATCACTGGAGGCGGATCACTTGAATCGCTACTCGAGTCGGAATCCTCCTCTTCCTGCGTGACGCGAAGTTGAGAGGCCTCTGCTTTGCGCTGGATCTTTCTGATC